AGCAATAAAATATTTATATTTGATAATTAATACTTTTACTATATCTAATTCTTTTCTAATATTTAATTGTAATTAAGGTTATAAGAGTTATATTACATAGGTTATGATACATGTAAATTACACTATAAGTTACCTTAACCTTCTGTAATTTACATTATATATATGAAAAATAATCAAATTTCTATTGGTTCAAATTTAACATATCATGTGATATGTATTTCTAAAACAATAGATTGATAAAAAAAATTTTTTTTCTTTATTATACTAAATAACACATTTACATTTTAAAATTTGTCTTAAAATTCATCTAATTCTTCATCAGATAATTCTTCCAAATCTGATTAATATAATCAGAAAAATCAGATTCAGATTCAACATTAATTTCTTATTTATTATTATCTTTGGTAGTTTCTATTTTTTTATTTACCGTATTTTTTAATTAACCATTTAAAGTAATTGGTTTATCTATTGCATATAATATTCTCAAATTTCAAAATATATAAACAATTTTTTCTATTTATTCTTCATACAACCTATTTCGTAATTTTGAATAAATAAATCCAAATGTTAACCAATTTCTTTCACTAGCTGCTAAAGTTGCTGGTATTGAAAGTATCTGAATAACTAAATCACTAAGAAATAAATATCTTCCTTTTATTAAATTTTACTAATTAACAGACTTTGAATTATATTTTCTCATAAGTGACTAGATGCAAAACCTCCTATTTTTCCAACATATTCAGCAAGTTTTATTAAAATAATATCTCAATATTCTTCTCCTACTAATTCTATGATTTCTTTTTAATAATAGGATCAATTACCTGTATATTAAGCTGATTACCATAATATTGTGAATTTAATTTATAAGTAACAATTACAGTTGAATTGTATAGGAAATTTTGCCAATGATTTGAGCCAAATTTTTTGATTACATCATAAACAGTTTCAGGTAAATCAGTGTTATTTCATATGTGTACTTTAAGTTGCTGATATTTAAGATATGCAGTTGAAATTATTGACTCATTTCCTTCTAATTTTTTGATACAAATAGCAAATTATTCTAAAAATTTTGAAGTATTTCAAGATTATCCCAAAAGATACTATTAGTGATAAGTAATTTTGTTCTATCATCAAGATTAAGATGATCTTCAGCAATAGTAACTTGAATAGCTAATTTAAAACGTAATAAATGATTAAAACAAGAGTATGATGAGTCCCATTATGTTATATTAATAAAATTAATGCAATTTTCTTTCCATATTTTTCTTTTGTAAGTGTTGTAGTATAATAAATGCTACTTGATGATTACAAAAATAAATTGATTATTTCTTTACTTTCGTCAATATATCTTTTACCTATTTAATACTAATAATATCTTTTATTCATAGATAAATTCCATACATCAAACAACCAAGAAAGATTTTTTTAGATATTTTTGCTTTAGAATCCTCTACTCAGCCTTTATGTTTAGTGCATTATCTGTAATAATTGCTGTGAATTTGTTAATAATAGTTTCTATTATGTATTCTCAAGTCCTATTGTTATATTTTCTGCAGTATGTTATTTTTCTTTAAAAGTAATTGCTTTGTAAAATATTAGTTTTGATGCTGAAATCATATAATTTACAATAGAGGTATTTTGAACATTTGATCATCTATCACTTATCAAACAATAAGTAGGACTTTCAGATAATGCTGATTTAACAATTAATTGCAAATTATTAAATTCTTGATTTAAAAGAGTATTTGAAAAGATATAACGTATAAGAATTTTAAATAATGAACAGGTTTTTTTTTAAAAATGAAATGAAATCTTCATTTTCGATTATATTAAATGAAACATCAGCTAAATAAAAGGCACATACAAGAAGACTTTTTAAAATAATCTGATCTTTTAGAGTAAAAGTATATCAGTAATAATCAAGTGTTTGTCGATTTTTATTTAATACCTTAGGGTTGTAAGGGTTTAGTTTCTGCATTACATTTTTTAATATATTCTTTAAGACACGTAGCATTTTTAGACTATATGAGAACATTTCCAGTAAAATCAAGTCATGAAACATAGTAAATTATATGATCTGTAATGTGATTTTACTAGAAACATTCCCATATACTGGAACAATTTTTACATTTATATTTTTCTTTTCCATTAGAATCATTAATAACTTCAAACTTTGTTCAAAACTTTTCTTTAGCTTTTGACATAATATTAATATATAACAAAGAAAAATCAAAGAATTTTACATTAGCGTTACAACTGATTAATTTATAAAATCATAAAAATATTGAAATTATAACGCAATTCACATGTTTATTTAATTAACTTAAGAAATAAGCATTAAATATTAATTTTATCAATTTCGATAAATGTATAATATGGAAAGTGGTTAGTAGGAAAAAGGGAAATCCAAATTTTGGTCAAAATTTATATTATTGAACCATTTAGCTGATCTCAGTCATGAGTACAAAATTAGCTTAATAATTAAAATTAACAAAAAATTTGGATTTTCCCTTTTTACTGACTGCCTTTCATATGACAATGACAATTGATTATTTCCAAAACCCATTTCTCAATCCCAAAAATTTCGTCTAACATTATGATAAATTATATAAATTATGATAATTCTGTCTAACGTTTTTATTACTTTCAAATTATTCTGATATTTTTTCTGATATCTTCCAATATAATTTACATGTAACTTACTTACCTTACATTGTAACTTACAGCCAAATTTTTAATTTACCGTAATTTACAACCCTAATTGTAATGTATGTATAGCATAAAAAATTCTTTTACTAATGTTTATATTACCACATGCTTTCATTACATTTGAATAATTATCTGTAATTTTTGAATTAATTTCCCATTCATCAAATAGTTTAATTAAATGTTCCTAAATCTCAGTTGCATCATGTGGATATAGCAGTTTTTTCATATTAAAAAATAATTTACATAGTTCAAATTTAAATGTTATCCAATATGCTATAACACTTAAATAGAGTATATGTGCTGATAAACTCTATTAAATGTTAAAGAAATCCTTTCTGAATTTTTTGGTAAAGTGGTTGGAGTCTTCACTCAATTCTTGTTTATACTAAAAATTCTGAATCACATGATTTAGACATTCAGGTGTTTGATCATTGGTCTGATGATACACTTGGTTCACTGCTTCTTCATTACACATTGTAATGGAAACTCTTAAAAAAACCATTATGGATTACTATAATTTCTGATAATTGGCCTCATTACCACAATACTGAATTGATGATTGATTTATCATACTGGAAGAAATGGTATAGCATTAGTGTAAGAAACTGGATATTGTTGGAAGCGGGTGAGGTACAAGCATTAATTAATTCCACCACACACAGGTAATAAAATGTGATATTTCAAATTTTCAAAAAAATATGATATTTACCAAATTACTTCATTTATTATAAGATAACTCATGCGATCAAAAGGTATGTAAAATTAGGATATTAAAAATGCGATCAAAGATCTAGCAGGCACTTATGTAGCACACATCCAACCCAACCGTTCTCAGGGTTTGTGATTTAATTCACCATATATACAATAATCAAAAATTCAAAAAAAATAATTATATACTTTATTTATAAATAGAACAAAAGAGTATATTAGGTACTATACAAGGGATTACAAATTGGGCAGAATGGGTTTGGCCAAATTATACTAATGATGCATGATATATCTATGGAAGAACTCTACCTAGATTTGGTCTGTGAAATAAATTTTCGACTAATAAAATACAAAAAATTGCTAAAGGATGAATTTTTGTCAAACCAAACCCAATAATTACTGAACATACAGAACCAGACAGATCTTGGATCACATCAACTATCAAAAAAAAAGGTACAGTTTCTAATAAATAGAATCATCTTGAATTAAAAAAATCCTTATGTTAATTCAACATTTGTTAGATAATGATACTGAAATTGCAGAAAATGATGAATCATATGTAATTTCTAATATGAAATGATTTCATCTAATAATAGAGCGCAGAAATTATTGATCTAACCTTATCACAGATACCAACAGATTCTATTTCAAAATAAAGAGGTATCGTATCACTCTTTGTAATAATTTTCGAAGCTATAAATATTACCTAATGCTTCATTGTTTTTTTTAGTCGTGAAATATTTTATAGAGGATGGGCTCTAAAAGAAAATCAGAAAATCAGAACACCAGTGAAAAGAATTATACCTAGAGTAAAAGCGTTACTTGAATGCAGGAACAGTTAACCCCAGACAGAAATGTTAGCCCAAGAGATGCGAAATGAATTGTTGCGTCGTGAACATGAAGGAGAAATTAGCATCCAAAAGAGTCAACTATTGGCAACTGGATTACGATGTTTTCACGACAATCTATGGCTCTAAGAAATATGGAAGCAGAAGACAATACCTAGAATTTGAAAATTTTCTATAAAACAATAGCAAGTAAACAAAATTATGATAAAAATTTTGAAACAATAAACTCAAATACATAGATTCATTTTTCGTTGTAATAATTGTAATTAGTTGAAGAAAAATGCTGATCTTTCCGGATCTACATTAAAAATTTAATATTAGAAATTTTGTTTATGTAAAATTCATTCTGTTTTCCGTGTTGATAAAATTTTATTTTGTATCAGATCGAGTATTTAATAAGAAAAACACGCTAAAAAAACATATACAGTATATATTCATGCAGTAGATTACGTCAAAAAAATGTGGAGTCATTTTGGTACTACTCACGTTATCTACGTTATCTTAATAAATCTGCCCCGAGTTTATATAGTAAATTAGTGCCGATCTTATCCGAATCGTCAATTAACAAGATAGATAGTAATGATTTGAAACCTGATTCAAAGAATAGCTTTTTTTTAGTAATTTTAGTGATTTCGTTATTTTGTTCTGTGAATAATAAGATTTGGATATGCCAATATAATATTCGACGTGTGTCCTCTATATTCCTATAATACTTATCAAATTAATTTATGACATATGGTAATAAACGTAATTAAGCCCTGAATTGTGATGTATTTTACAAAAAAGCATATTAATCGCTTCCAGTTTAATAATAATATCATTGAACATACAGAGCGATTCATCATCTAGATTAGAACAATTAATGGTAAGTAATTTCAATTCTTGACAGTTAACGAGAATATTTCCAAATATTTCACTTGTAGGTTGAGGCCCTCCAAGTTATGTTGTAATTTCCAACAGAAATATGCAATTTCACAAAAAGATTTATCAGTAAGTGCCGTACTAAATACATCAAAGATATTCACTCCGCACACCAAAGTATAAGTGGCATTAGTGGCATTGATCGGAATGTGTAATATTTCTAATGACCTCACGACAGTCGTTTTTTTATTTACGTAAAAATGAATACATATTTTTTTTTAAAAATCGATGAATATAGTTTATAATTTGATAGTGGATGCGCGCGAAATCGTATTCACCAACTTTGAGTGTCCTCAATGGCGGCATTCGACCACAATAAGTGTATTGCACGTATGAACCAAAAACGATTAACAAACAATGCGGGATGAAGTTTATTTCTCTGAAAGTATTAAATCTAAGATTTCGTGAAAATTCACGTGCCAAAAGACTGATCGGTTAATTTTAGTCGAAGTGCGCTTGTACGACAGGTTTTATTTTTTTGCACATCGATATTAGCAGTGAAATTCGTATGTTATGAAAGGCTGGTGGACTCGCAATTCCGAGGTCATCAGGCGTAAAGTCAACTATATGACTTGCAAGGTAGATCATGTGAAAAGGTATGAAGATTCCGCTTGCATGTGTTTTCATAGAGCTCTTGGCATCATACGACAATGCTAATCATTCTCCTTATCTCCATATCTTTTTTCCCAGCAAGATATAAAGCATGAAAGAACTCATAGAAGTTTAGCCAACTTTCACGTAAAAATTTTAAGGTATGTATATGCCAGAAGTTATATATGCATGGGAGCGAAAAATACTCACAATGGACTCTTGTATTTAGGAAAACGTAATATGACCGATATCACTCTCAGATATCTTATCATCCCCACAAGACTTGAATAGGGGAAATTCACACAAAATGTGAAAGGATTTCAAAGTATCAATATGAAAACGTTTCATATTAAATTTAACAAAATCTGAATAAATAAGTTAGATTAACCTTAGTATGAACCATTTTTTTTTATAATGAATACAAACTTGGAAAAAAAAAAGGTTCGATCTTAAAATTCTTGAGTTGATGCATTTATTATAAATTCCACCTCATCTCCATGTCACTTTATAATACTTAAAAAACAAAAAAAAAAAATTACATAATTAAACAAAGAAAACAAAGAAAACAATCGCAATCATGAAATCATTTAAAAGAATCGGTTTTGTTTTGTTGGTCACTTTGTTGGCTATTGTAAAAATTTCGAGCGCTTGCGACGAGTGTAAAAAAACAGGAAAAGCACGTGCGGAGCCAATGGTAGAATAACGAAGTTTATATATTAAACTCGACTCTCTTAAAATTCTCCCCCCTCCCTTCTATTAGATTCGAATCCCTTTGTTATTCAGATCCCCTTTTGTTTTATTGGGAGTTTTCAATATCTATGTTGCTTATTAACGTATCAATATTTTCTCAAAATTTTTATTTTTTATTTTCATTCTTGCTTTGTGACTTTATTCTTTTCTCCCCTTAAACTCGCTAAATCCATTCCATTTTTTTCATTGTTGTACCGACCTCCTTTTTCTTAATATTGTATATCTATTTGCAAAATAATAAATATTTTACTTTGAATTTTTAAACGCATGCATGATTTGACATCAGTACGAAACAGTATATGGGTGGGTCATTCATTGACTAGCAACATGCCCCTCCGGGAAATATTTACTTTTTGAAAATTTATATTTGTTTACAGTTTATTTTAGAACAAGATAAACAAAACTGCAATATGAAGATTAGGGTGGCCCATTTTCTGCTGGGCTAAACTCAAATTATGTAGTAAGATATGCTAGTATATGCGAAAAATTTTTATAAAATATGCGTCGTTTATTTTGGTTTTTTTTTTTCAAATTACTTTATTTAAACTATTCTACAATTACAAAATTTTAATTATTAAAATACAAAAATTCAAAGCAACAATTGAATCTTCTGAAAGAGCATGCCATCTATCACTAAGAATATTGGTATATGCTGAAAAACTTCGTTCCACATCTACCCCAGATACTGATAAATTTGTAAGCTTCTAATTTTTGTTTTTCCAAATTACAATAAATTCTCCATTCTTGTATACTTTGATCTGTTAGCCTTTTAAATTCTTGAATTTCGGAATATAAATTAATATTATAATGATGTTGTTAAGCATGAATATAACGTGGATCAAAGCATTGAATTGCTTTAAACAAAGGTAATGCTGAATGATAGTCTATATGGTTCTTTAATTTGTTAAAAGCTAATTGATAAGCTTCTTGAAACATTGTAATAAACACTGATGTATCAATATTTTCTTCCAAAAATTTAGAATTCATCTCATTACTAAAAGGAGGTTGAATAAAATTCTAATTTTAAAGAATTCAAGATCATCTACAATACTATGTAAATAAATATAAATTAGATTTGCATTTTTTTTATTTAAATAAATAATACTAATTATAACTTACCGTTTTGTATTAAATGAAATATAAAAACATGTACTGAATTTTTAAAAAGTGTTACCAATTCTTGAATAGTTTTACTTTTATTACTAATAATTTTTTCTTCAATATAGAATTTACATAATTGTGATATATGTTGGTTAATTCAAAAAACAAAGTTATACCATGAGTTCTAAAAGATTTTTATAGATAAAGGTGATAATATAATTAAATTTTGATCAGAAGAAACTGTGGTAAAAGAAAAAAATAATTTTAAAAAGCAGATCATCTTCTTTTGTGTATAGAATAATAAATAAAAGATTTTTTTATATTTGCTATAATATTAACTAGAAATTTGAAACTCTTATAATTAATCTATATTTCTTCAACTAAATTTAAATATGAGCTAAACAATGGTTATGTTTTAATTGAAAAATTAAAGGGATAATATTTGAAAGGCTTTTAATATATAGGAGAAATTTAGTAAAAAAAGGAGAAAATCCAAAATTTTTGTTAATTTTATTATTAAACTAAATTTGTATATATGACTGAGATTAGCCAAGTGGTTTAATAATATAAATTTTGATCAAAATTTAAATTTCCCCCTTTTCTACTGATTACCTCCCATATATGCATATTATCAGAAATAAAAAAATAAGATTGTTATGAGAAATGTTATAAATAAATATGAAGTTAGTGTCAAAGTGAAAAGTTGAAATGGTTGAAATGATGTTATATTACATGATTTTTTATATATAGAAAAATAAAACAAAAGATGTATAATCTCAGTCAATATCGCTCTGATTCATATAAAATAACTACTACTCAATTCCTCACGACTAGATGAATCCAATAATCTAATATTCATTAATTTTGGATCAGCTCATTTTGAGATATTTTGTGATCAAATTTCAAAATCTGAACTTATTTATTTAAAGTAGAATTTATTGATTTATAATTTCAGCTGATAATACAATTGCGATTATCTTAAGATTAGATAATCTAAAATTAATGAATTTTAGCTTATTAGATTCTCTAGTCATAAGAAATCAAATGGTAGTTATCTTATATAAATCAGAGTGATATTAACTGAGATTGTATATCTTTGTTATTTTTGTTTTTTCTATATATAAAAAATCATGTGATATAACGTCATTTTGACTATTTCAACTTTTTAACTTCTAATAGTCAAAATGATTAAAATCATTTTGACCATTTCAGATATCTGAAATAATCCATTTCAACTTTATATAAAGTTATAAAATTGTAAAGTTTTTATAACCAATTAAGCAATATTAGTTTTATTAATATTATCCAAATGTTTTATTTTAACTAATTTAGTTTAGTTACTAAAATTAAGTAATACATTTATAGCTGCCTAGTCATAAATATCTGTAATTTCATCAATTGTAATAGATATACACTTATTACATACTATTTCTTCTATGCTAGAAATCTTTATATTAAAGACAATTGACAAATATTTTTCTCGTAATAACATTAAGGGTAATTTAATAATGTCTTATTTTATTTTTAACTTTATGTATATTTTTTTATGTTTGTTTGACTTAAATGTATATCTAATATAAATTTTTTTATAGTCTAAAACTCTTTAACAAAATTCATAAAACAGTTTTTTGACTATTAACATAAAATTTTTTTATTTTAAGCTTTTGAGTCTATATTCACTTACTATATCATTGTAAAAAAAGGATAAAAGATCAGAAATAATCAATCAATCATCTCAAATTATGATCTTAATCTTAATCTATAGATTTTAACTATGAATACTATTGATAAGTAAAAAATGCGAAATTTAATAAATCTGTGGCAGCATATACTAATATAAAAAATCTTAATTTCTACACATATTATGCTATTACAAATATAAGTTATTTTTAACACTAGTCAAATGATAACAAATAGAAGACCAATCAGATCAAATTTAGGTTATCAGATTTAACCTGATTAGTTCCTATTTTTTGTTATTTTAGAATCAGGTGATTCCGATTGATAATGAATAATAATGCAGATAGGATATAATAAGGTACCAATCAGTATCAGTATTAAGCATTTATCTAATTAGACATATAAACTATATAAACTTGTATATGTCTATATATGTCTAAATCTAATACTAATCAGGATGTTATAAAGATATTAATAGGGTTATTCTTATTGATATCAATTATTAATATTTAGTTTTCAATCAGATTATCCATAAGTCATCAATAGGGATATTCCTATTATTATCTATTATACAAATAGCATATTCTGATTGGTAACATTTTATCAAATTTTTATAATACAGGTAATTTTATAACTATTTATTTTATACAAATAAGTAATCCCGATTAATTATAATAAAAAGAATTTTTTTATTAATATAATTTACATTAATATAATACTTTAATTATAAGAAAAGTACATTTATAAATAATAAGCTTCTGATTGTTACAAATTTATTAAATTTAATTATTTGTTATATTTGATAAGAAAAAAGTTTACTTCTATTAAAAAAAGAAAAAATTAGTAAAATCCTGAAAAAATATCACCAAAAGTGTTTTGATTTGTAGATTTATCTTAGCCAATAAACAAGAAAAGTTCACCTCTATTATAGCTAATTTCATAATTTATAAATCATTAATAATTTTTTAATCACATTCAGTCGCAATATTTTATAATAATTT